CATCTTCATGTATTGTAATTTGAAGGTCTGATGACGGCGTTATCGCCGAAAGCTCACCAATAAAGAATTTGATGCAAGAGCTTCGAAATCATCTATTCTACAAAATGGAAAGTTAAATTCACACACTCACCAATATGAAGAACCATGGTTTCTGAGGCACTCCTTCTCCTCCAGGATAGACGGCTTCGACGTACCACGTGATGATCATTAATATGATACCGTCAACGATCAGCATAATAAAGCAGTGGCCAACCGTAAGCCTTTGATCCGGTGTAGGTGGAGTAAACAGTGTGCCCCATTGGAGACCGTCAGCTGCATAGAAATTTCGTTACGATCAGAGAGACAGTCACATGCACTACTCAGGGTCTTTTCGATGAGGTAAGTACGATTTCTCCCACATCTACTGGGCACGCACGGCCGTATTCAACTGGTTAAAGACACGTTCCGCGATAGCTGGATAGGCGGGAATGGACTGAGACGCACAACTATTACGCCTTCGTCATTAGTGTGTCTAAGTTGCATCACACTATAAGGAGTGTGCACTATCTCTGCCCATCCATTCGCCGCGGAATGAGCTCCTAAGAGTTATACCCCACTGGCGCATGTCTCATACAATTCCATCTGTATTCTGGGGGAACTTATGCCAGGACACATGATTCGCATGCTGCACAGCTTACAGAAAACTGCAAACTTGTACCACTGTAGTATCACTGTGCTTACCTTGAGTTTCGTATTGTGCCAGCAACGTGATACCGTATGCCATGGCAATATCCGGATTTAGGCAGTTCACCATTCGTACGCCAAACGGAAACGGTTTAGCGAGATCAAAGGTGTTGAACACTGCGTACCAGAAATATAACATCATCCATCCGACCACAGCCATCAAAGAAGCTGCTGTGCCTAAAACAGACCCTTGAGATTGTTTCATGATAACTGCTGTTCAAGGAGGCAGTTTGCGAATGCTGAGTCGCAGACAGAAGTGCTAACCGCGGGCGGGACTGGAACCCTCCACTGAGCTCTTCGAAGGGAGAGGGGGCTATATGTTGTGTCGCAATCTTTAGGGTGCGTTCATACTTTGCGGCAGCGTCCACCAACGTCTACCATCGTCTCGAGGACCTGGGACGTATAGGTATCGATCTAGCGTCTGCCAGCGTCCGCCAGCGTCACCAGCGTCTACCAGCGTTCGGGAGAGGAGAGTATGGTACGATAGGAGGGGAGCAGACAGCTGGTAGAGTATGGGGAAAAGGAGGGTACCGGCTGCCTGCTATCCTCCTATCGCACCATACTCTCCTTTCCCGGACGTTGGTAGACGCTGGTGTACACTGGCACACTGGTAGGCGTCAGATCGATAGCTATACTTCCCAGGCCTTCGAGACGCTGCTGGACGCTGGTAGTAATGGCGAACGCTGGTAGACGCTAGCAGACGCTGGATTGACATTTTTTGCTGACACTGTCGGACGCTTGAAACGCTAGTGGTCGCTAGTAGAGCTAGTAGGGTAGGATGCTGCCGCAAAGTGTTAACGCAGTCTTACTGGTTCATTACGTTGGACGTGTGAGTGCTGCAACGCTATGGTACAAGAGCCATTGAGCTGAAAGAGTATGAGTGGGCCCGACGGCGTAACAGATAGCACATAGCCCGAAAAGGGTAGGATGCGGGTTCCTGTCCCGCTAGAGATCAGTAAGTCAGCCCATAACTCAGCATTTTTGTCACTGAGTTCTGGATAATGTAGCTCTCCAAGGCCCAAGAAATCTTAGATTAAGAAGAGTATGAAAGCTAGGTTGTCAAGGACTTACCGACTGCATGAATGTCGAAATGGCCAAAAGGCAAAGTACAGCGCCAGTCGAAGACGGTAAAGCAGGGGAGAAAAAGAAGCACACTGCAATCATGGACCTTGAATTACTTGAATTACCAGAATTTTTCGCATTTTAACTTAAGTGTATGAAGACGATCTAACAAGAACCAACTGGGTCAAAGGCAGCTGGCACGATAAATCCTTAGGACGAGTAGGATTGATAGGCCTGGCAGGACAGAATTCCGCACCCTGGAGCAGGGGCTGTTGTTAGCGCCCTTTTCGTGGTCGGTACCCTTAGAGGGCCCATGAGCTGCAACGTACCCGTCGGTACGCCCACGCGCCTGCTCGCCCAACGAATGGACGAGCGTACCTGATGATTTTTATTCGTATGTTGCGTTTCGATTAAGTAAATACAAAGCGAGGAATCGGATATGAAGCGGCCGTCGGTTGGCATGGCATATATGGGTACAAATAAATGTAGCCGTATCTACCCGTCAGCGGCTTATTGGCCCCCCCCCCCCCCCCCCCCCCCCCCCCCCCCCCCCCCCCCCCCCCCCCCCCCCCCCCCCCCCCCCCCCCCCCCCCCCCCCCCCCCCCCCCCCCCCCCCCCCCCCCCCCCCCCCCCCCCCCCCCCCCCCCCCCCCCCCCCCCCCCCCCCCCCCCCCCCCCCCCCCCCCCCCCCCCCCCCCCCCCCCCCCCCCCCCCCCCCCCCCCCCCCCCCCGGACAAAACTCGTTCGACATTGTTCCCACTCGGTGTAGTAGAATGACTTTTTAGCAGGCTTTTTTTTACGTTTCACTCTTTTTCGCTATTTCACTACTACAGCACATCTGCTAGCCATCTTTACGCCGTCAGTACGAAGGATGATCGTGTCATATGCCTTTGAAAAATTCAAAGCATCTCTCTCTGTACAATTTAAATGATAGCAGACTGTAAACTAACCGAGTTGTAACGAAGTGCAGAAGAATTGTTAAGACAATCACTGAGACGAACAGTTTCACGTAATTGACGATGAAATGACCGACCCAATGAATCCACTGGCTCAAACCCATGACCCGCATATATTCCTGAACAGATCCGAATAGCCGATTGATGCGATTTTCCCCTTTAATGAGCTAAAGTCTTTCACCGTTAAACTCATTCAGAATTCATCATGCGACCGGCCTCAATGAACTGTTGAAGAAGCCTTCGGGTACTGAACCCCCTGCTCCTACAGCCTCGTTCCCTGCGGATGATGGGGTACGTTAGGGGGTGGGTTTTGCGCTGCGCCAGCTCGTTTTCCACCAATGGTGGCCTCTTGCTCTGCTTCAACAACTGCTGGAGAACGGGCCGCGCCAGTGCCCCACCATACGCTGCGAAAAAGACCATAAAAGAAGAAAAAAAAAGAAAGAAAAAGACCAGATCACCAGGCTTGAAGATGAATCGCACTTCATATACAAGGGCAAAAGGTGGAGTTATAAGGCACAAGCCACAAGTACGGCGGCGGCTAGGTTTGAGGAGGAAAAAAGGCAAAAAGGTATGTACAAGAAGGAAGAATGAGCATGACAAAACGCAAGCCTTCTCCGGTATGCCCTTTTTGCCTTTATTTCGCAACGTATACAGAACTGTACTGTATTTGGGCAAGTGTCCAAGTGCCTATAGAACCTGGACGTAAGTTCATTAAAGGCCTGCCCTAGATAGAGGTTGATCAGTGCCGAACCCTTTACCCTTATGTAACGAAAACAGAATACTCAAGAGTTCACAATACTGGCTTACCTTCAACTTGGCCTCCTTCTCCATAACTATGCTTTTTACTATGTAGATCACACTCGTCATATAGGAGAATACAATGATGACGGGAAGAAAGAAAGCACCGATTTCGATGATTTTTGATGTGTAAGCCGGGAACGGAAAACGGCCTATCTGGAATTATTGGCCTTTTGTGCTGAGTCATTCTAGACTCTGTATAGGAATGTCGCATCCTACGCGTCCTTTATTTCCGTGAAAAGTAAGGCGGGCTTTATAGTTTACGAACTACCAAACACTTGGTCGAGCACTGTACGGCAGTGTTAACCATGCACTGATGCAGTTTTTTGCGATGGATTTTTAAATCCGTCCGCTCATTCTTCGTCCCTCGAGTTGCCCAAATTGAATCGCAGTCCGCAGGTGTACGAGCTGTGAACACCACCTAACGAGAAGTCAAGCATAAACTCACCATCAGATCAGTGTTGAAGATGTCTATGTGATGACCGGTGAGAATCTCATAAATGGCATTGTCCACAGCTTTCTGCACCGTCATGAAACCTTCTCTCCAGTACCCTGGAAACACAACACATAGAGGTTCGTCTAATTATAAAGATTACTGAATCTCAAATACATTAACGGTTATGGGTTGGGGTTAAATAGAGCAGCCGACAGAGTTATTACCCCGCCTCATGCCAGAACAGGCGTTGTCTAAAAAACTACGATGTCTCGCCTGTGGGAGTGTATCCACCATCCATGTAATCAAGAAAAGGACAGCGAGCGCTGCTGTTGAAGTCTACTGGAATGCGCCATGAACGTCACGTCCACTAGAGCAGCAGAGGTAAGATCACACGACTTATACTCAGCAGGAGCGGGACCAAAAACGACGGCCCTTACGCTTCTCCATTCCGAATTTAGACGTGGTCAAAGGCAATAAAAATGTGCTGTATTAAATTGCCAAAAATTCTAAGCAGGATTAAATAGGAATAATATTATGTCTTTGTTCGGCGTCTATTAAGGAATGATTTTTAAGGCCAGGAATAATGCGCTTCGTCCCCTGAACCACACATGTAGCTCTGAAGAATAAGTTATCTCATCGAGCCAGGAGACTATGAGCATTGTGGGGGCCGTGTGCAAGTTGCTGCTCAGTTTATTTTGCTTTATTTAGTCACTCGAAGTTTCCGCTGTGCTACTGAAAGACACCATTCGCCCAGTTGTCTGACCCAAGTCGCTATGGTGAACGATTTAGTTTTTGGGATTGACACCCATGTGACACCCACAAATTCAGTTGGTCGATATCTGGAACAGTGTGCACGGTGTCTCGACGGCTTGCTAGCAGTGGACAAGATTGCCAAAAATTAACTAAAAAAAAGCAGAGTGCGTCCTGCTGTCAAGTCTAGATTTGTCCACTGTCATCCTACCCAGAGCGAATGCAACCTTTAACGATACACCTCTGAGCCGGTTATCCCTTTTCCCGTCTATGGCTTCTAGCAGAATGATCTGTGTGACTGACCTGTCTGTCATTCTGAATTAATTGAGCGGTTCACTTTCGCAAATAAAACTGGCATTAATTAATCAAACAGGTTTGGTGGGTCTGGGCATTAATCATTTTATGGATCTATTGCTGCCCTGTTTCCTGCCACTAGAAAGCTAGGATATATAAGTTAAATTCACTGGTTTTCACGGCGTAGAAACTAGGGGAGCGGTTCCAAATACGAACACATCTCTAATTTCGAGGATAGTCGCTGTACGGTCGTCTTCGACGGTCCCAGTCCTTACCACATGCGAGGTGAACCGATGCGCAGCTGTGGAACTTCTTTTTAGTATGTGCCTTTAGACACATGTTCGGAATGAAGAACGAAAGAAGTCTCTTTTTGTGGTTGAAAGTTAGCGCCGAAATCAAAGCTGGAAGGGTATGAAATAGCTCAAATGCAGACGGACCTCTACAACAAAACTTCAAACCAACGGAGAGCGACCCGCCACCGCGATAGGAATACGCCGGCTAATGCCGTTTGGACTCCAGAAATTTCGTCTTCGAGCTCATTTTCAATTGCCTAAGTCACCAAATCCACTAAAAACTTGTATATAGGGGTAATTCAACATCCTGATTACGAGTATGACACTCATTCTTGGCGCTGGCGCCAAGAGAGGACACTACGATTACCTCCTGGGCTCAGCCTTAGCAGAGCAGGGTAATCGTAGTGTCATCCATTAGCGCCAGCGCTAAAAATGAATGTCATATTCGTGATCAGGATGTTGAATTACCCCTATATACAAGTTTTAGCGGATTTGGTGATCTTGCCACTTTAAAATGAGGGCTCGAAAGAAAATTCTGGAGCCAAACGGCATTAGCCGCACTAACTCTAGCTATATCTCCAAAACGCACTAGTGCAGCACTTGTCTGGCCCTAACATTTAATTTGCTCTTAACTTGGTCGCGATAAGGCTGCTCGCTCTTCATGTTGTTTGCTGGGACCATAGCAATCGTCGCACAGATGCGGCACTACGGGAGATAGCGGTAAGTGGAGACGGCATTCAGCTATCACAACCCTCCAGTCCATTTCCGTGCGCTTCCAAGTGATGGGAGTACCACAATTTCACAGCTGCGGACGTGCCCACTTCGCGCATGGCAAAGATCCATCGTGCAGGTACATAAGTGTGCAGTGTTCCACTCGACGAATGAATAGATAAAAGTTTGTGAGAAAAATCCAGCACTAGGTACTTGTTGGCCCTATTCCAAAGCTCGGAACGCACCTCAGTTCTGCTAAAACGGTCTGCGGGACTTAATGACACATGCTGCACTAGTCTTTTAGACGATACCGTGTCTACAATTGTGTCCTCGTGATTGTTGCGTTCCCCCTTTTATGCTTTAAAGATGAGCAGAGCTATACCGATATCCGATACTTTTTCATTGTTTAAAAAATCGGTTATTCGTTACTTGAATTGTGTGAAATAGGGTCTTGCTTTTTTTCTTGCTTTTTTTCTTTCTTTACACTTATTTTTGGTTCGTTCTGTTTAGTTGTTGTTCTTCTTTTTCCTGATGATATGCTTCTTTGAGTTTACAATTACATGTCATGAAGCATGTAATAAATTTGAAAATTGAATTTGAATGCAGTTAAAGAGGACTTGTATCGTATAGAGACAGGTATACGGTAGGTCCGCCTTCCGCTTGACAGGACTGTGAACAGCCTTTTTATCACTATAACTTTTGCGGAGGGAGGACCAGACGTAGTTTTTTGGCGGGCTAAGCACTGTCAGTCAGACTCAGGTCTGTGAAAGTGCAAATCTGGAAATAACAGGTTGCTCACGAACCCGGATATCCTCCATCACTTTCTGAAGGATTAATGGGTCCGCTGATGAATTGCACTGCAAACAGCACACGAGTGTTCCACGGTGTGTAAGTGTTCGAACCAGTACTCTGAAAAGGACCATATTTCTTGAGTTATCATTTCCAAGCTAATATCAAGACTTACACCTTTGCCGCGACGATTCGTGTTGGACAAACGAATCGTATACGATAGAGTAGAATCAGATTGTAATCTGTTGGCTATTGAATCGTCAAATGTGATACCAGCTGGAATTAAACACCACCTCATCAATGAATGGAATATCATAAAATCTTGAGGGAGTGTTCAGTGTTGGCAA